CAAGGTCCCAGGAGCAAGTCAAGCTCAGCAATGCAGAATTATTCATGGATGGTGGAATGGCTCCAGGCCTTGCACTGTGACTGGAAAAAACTGTACAGTTCACCCTTACACATACATTCACAGAATATCCTGAATTGGAAAGAGCCCCATAAGAAGTTCTCAGTTCAGCTCCTGGCTCCAGTCAGGAGCACTCAAAACCCAAACCCTGTGTCTGGGAGCATTGTCCAGAGGTTCCTTGAACTCCAACAGCTTGGTGCTTTGAGCACTGCCTGCAGAGCATGATCCAGTGCCCAATTACCCTCTTGGTGAAGCTGTAGCTTGCAGTGAGGTCTTCCCTGATGGCCTGTGACCAACGACTGCTTTGTCTTTCATATATTTTTCAGTAACTCAACAGAACACTCTTCAGAATTTCTCTAGTCAATGAAGTGAGACTGATGGGCCTGCAATTACCAGGGTTGTATTTCTTATCTTGCCAGCTTCTGGTTGAACGGGGATGGATTTCACATGATTGTTGAAAATGAAAACAGTCACATTGTGTACTCGTCTTCTAGGATGTCAGATAGTGATGTTGGTTTCTATATGTGGAAAAAATCTCTTGCAGATACTGCTGAAAGCATGGACTTCTGGCATTGTCTAAACACGTTTTGTGTTTGTATTGATGTTTACCAGTGACTCTCACTATAATGAAAGTTGTTGCATAAAAATGCATGCTATGTTTTCTTCTCCAGAGGTTCCAGCTCTGTTTAGGCAACAGTGCTGATGAGTGAAGCAGCTGGCACTATTTCTTGCATTCTCTCTGTTCAGTATGCTGATACCATATCACAGAATCACAGTACAGTTTGAGTTGGAAGAGACCCTTAAGATCATCCAGTTCCAACTCCCTGCTATAGACAGGGGCAGCTCCCTTTAGACCAGGTTGCTGAAAGCCCCGTCCATCTGCCTTCTGTGCAGTTAACTCTAAATGCTTGACTTAAAAGTACCTTTTTCCTTTTGTGGTTCATTTGGTTTTAGATAACCTGTGAGTTACTTTACTGCCTTTGACTTCACAGGTTCTCTGAGCAGACACAGATTGCCTTTCACATCCATTGCAACTGAGAAACAAAGCAAGAGTACTTTGTTCTTTATCCTTCCTTCTTGCGCAGGGGCTCCTAACAGCCCAGTTCACTGGAGGTCCTATCACTGCTTTGGAGTTTGAGGAAGCCACTTCACTTGAAGTCTGGCTTCACTTGAAGTCTGCTTGCCTGAATATCTGCAACTCAGGCTTTTTGGCTGCTGTTATCTGAATTGCTCTGTCTTAAATAAAGCTTCCCGGGGTGCCCACATGCAGTTGTCTGAAGGATGTTCTGCTGCTGCTGCTCCACTTGTTCAGCTTTCTTAGCTTCTACTTGACAAGCCTCCCAGCCTTGTTAGCTGTCTGCTCATTCCTTGTTGTGTGGTTGCTGGCAGGTAGGTGGTGGTGTGCATTCCAGACAAGGTGCCTCATGTTCTGATCAGTCTCTTTGTACCTATTTTGTGTATTTTCTTGTTGAATCTTTAGAAGAACTTTATTGGATGGGAATTTCAGGCTACCTGTGAATTCACTGGGGAAACTCCCGTATTTCTCATTTAAAACTGTCAATTAAGGTTTTTACTGAAGGCAGAAATGGGTGATTCTTGCTCATATTAGATTTCTGTATTCATTGTGCAGATGCATGTTGTCTGGTGTAAAATGGCAGTGCTGTTGTGATCCTCATATAGTGTGGTGTAGTTTAAAGAAGGCTTTGCAGTCTAATTTAGAAGTTGTACTTCAGTATAATTTGGGAGAGATTCCTTTGTATTTACTTTTGTACTTCATTTCACTTGGAGGTAAGCCCTGAAAAATGCCATGTTGAAGAGCAGATAACTCATGACAATGTGGGGTCTTTTCCCAGAAATATGTGAGGGTTTCTGGGCAGCCATAAAACTTTTCCGAAGATTGCTGCTGTTTCTTGTTATGTTTCAAATAGGAACATGGGAACTGACAAGCTTTCTCAAAAGGTATCCAGGTTTCACAGATCTTGCTAAAATAGCATTTGACTCTGTTTAGGGTAAGGGTAAATGATGTAAGAGGAGTTAATCAGTAGGCATTGTTGAAATGAACAGTTTGTGTTGTTTCCTACTGGGGACTCTTAAATGATGAATTATTACTGCGCCTTTACTCAGCTACTTCTGGAGTCATTGGGAGCTTTAACTTCATTTCTCGAGGAAACCTGAAAGGCTCCCTCTCACTGCTGCTGCTTTGTACTGAACGTATGGTCTGTGATGTGTGCGTTTTAAAAGCATTCAGAACGTGCAGTTAAAAGAAAGTCTTGTACTCAGTAAAAGCTTTGTGTGTACTTGAGGTGGTAAAAGTACAAGCAGTGTGCCTGTTCTTAACAGTTCTGTGCTTTTCAAATCTTGCAGACTTGAAATTGTTCTGTAAGTAGAGAAATGGGTGTTGAGTGCACAGTAAAAGGTGGTCACATTTTTCTGGACTTAGTGTAGAGCTGTGGATAAAACCAAGAGCAAAACAGCCTGCTTTGTAGACGTGATAGTAGCTCAAGCATGCTTTGCTTGATGACCTAAACTCAGTTTCCAAAGAGGAAAAAGGGAATTGAGAATCGGATCCTGTTCATTAGGTTCTGGCAGTCTGACCCTCCTCGATTCTTCTTTGAAGACCCTAATGCAGCATTGCATTTGAATTATCTGCATTTGAATTACCTTTATCCGTGCTGCTAGCCTTGTTGCTAACTACGCTGGGATCAGGGTTCCCTGTTTGTGCTGCTCTGGCTGCTGTCTTCACCATCATGGGAAAACTTCTGTAGGTGGAAAACTGGCATTCCATATTTCTAAGGGAGCACCTTGTCAGGGGATAGGGTAGAGAAGAGGGTTCCAAAATGTGTTTTTAGAGGAAAAAAAGACAAAGCTTTCAAGACCATTATTATATGGGATGGTTTTATGTCACGGGTTGATACATGAGCTCTGTCAGCTGCTACAGGCAAGGCCTTCAGAATTCATCTTTTTGAGAACTGTTTTTAGAAGACTGTAGGATTTAAGTCAAGGTAAAACAGGCCTTGCAGTGCAAGTTTGAGATACTGGTCTTCTGCTCTGAGTGTAAGGCAAATGAAAGTGGGAGGGTTTAGCACCTGTTGAGAACTGCATGCTGTGTTCTGTGGGAGCATCTTGCTAAGTGGGTGAAAAGGACTAAAACTGAGGAATTGGTCATGTAGTGGATCTTGTTCAGAAGAAAAACAGATTAGCACTCTCAGAATTGATTTTGTAGCAGAAGTTGGTCTGTCCTCCCTATAAGCAGCAGAATGACAGAATGGTTTGGGTTGAAGAGACCTTTAGATCATCTAGTTCCAACATCTTTGCTATAGGTAGGGACGCCTCCCACCAGACCAGGTTGCTCAAAGCCCCATCCAGCCTGGCCTTTTACACCTCCAGGTAGGTGGTATCCACAGCCTCTCTGAGCAACTTGTTCCACTATCTCACTAACGCTAATCCTTTGTAATGGCTTGTCTGAATCTCCCTTCTTCCAATATGAAGCCATTTTCCCTTTGCTCTGTTGCTAAATGCCCTTATGAAAAGTTCCTCCCCAGCTTTCCTCTAGACCCCCTTCAGGTACTGGAAAGCCACTATAAGGACCTCCAGAGCTTTCTCTGGTCCAGGCTGTAAAGCCCCAGCTCCCACAGCCTGTCCTTGTATGGGAGGTACTCCAGCCCTCTGATCATCTTCATGGCTCTCTTCTGGACCCACTCCAAGAGCTTTGTGTTCTCCTTGTCTCGGGGGCTCCAGAACTGGATGCAGTACTCCAGGTGGAGTTCCACAAGAGCAGAGTAGAGGGGCAGAGTCGCCTCCCTCACTCTGCTGGTCACACTTCTCTTGAGGCAATCTAGGATGATACGGTTGGCCTTCTGGGCTGGAAGTGCACATTGCTGGCTCATATTCAGTCTTTGGTCAACCAACAACCCCAAATCCTTCTCATTAGGGCTGCTTCCAGCCATTCTCTACCCAGCCTGTATCTGTGCTTGGGATTGCCCCAACCCACGTGTAGGACCTTGCACATAGCCTTTATATGGGAACTGTTGAGTCACGGCCTGAACCATTGGTTGAGCACCTGGGGAAAGGAACCAGTCAGCCCTGGGAGCACAGGTGAAGGCGATTTGTAGTATAAACTACCTAGCCTAGAGTTAACAAACATGCTCTTAGGACTTTTCAGGGGAAGGTGGGATCAAGCCCACATCCATGTCTCTGTTACTGGAGGTCACTGCAGGCAATTTGCAATACTGCATGTCAGCTGAGGCCTTGACATGGCCTCACTGTCACTATGGATCTATTAACAGAGACAGTCTGTGGGTGCAAGGGTGATCATTTGCATGCTTGATAATTTTACTGAAACTATTTTTAGATAATTACTTGTTGTTGACTAATGGAAAACTAGGAAACATTGAAAACTGATTCTGAATAATGAAAACTCAAAATGTGGTCAGTGATAGAAAGTACAATTTCTAGATTCTGCGGGGTGGTGTGTGCATGTGTATATGTGCCCAGAATTTGATGCTTTGCTAGGGATTTAACTGTGTTCTAAGCAAACAGAACTTTTCCGTTTTTAAAGCCTAAATGAAGTTTGGACCAATTAGCTGTATGATACAGAGTAGGATGATTCAGCATCCACGGTGGGATCTATTACAGTTAACTCTATTTTCATTTGAAGAAAAACAATAGCAGTGAGTTTCAGGCAGTTTGAGCAGATGCTAAGGGAAACCTCTGCTGAAGCAGAGGAATGTCTCAAATAGCTTGATCTTGAAAGCTGACCTCATGAGCTCCTTCATTCATGCTGCCTTCCCAAAGGTGAAATGCTGTGCTGCAAAGCTACGTAAGCAGTATTTCCCTGAAGCCTTGTTTACATCCACTGTTAACTGTTCACTTTCACTGAATTGTGTTTTTTAAAGCATAAAGTAATATAACTGAACTCCACTCATTTTATCCATCTCTTTCAGGTTTTCATGACTGTTCTGTTGCTGTAACCACCATGGATGTGAATGCTGTGGTGATAAAGGCTTGCCGTTTTCTCATTCTGGATTCCTCAAATCCAAGAGCTACTCAGCAGTTTCCAAGGCAACCACCTGTGGAATAATTAAAAAGGATGAAGTGTTGGTGTGCCAGATGCACGAAATTCTTGCCTGGAGAGAGCACTTCGTTTTCAGCTGTTTTGAATGTGATTCTGCCAGCACAGTTCAGGTAGCACAGTTAAAGAATACTGATTTGTTGTCTGGAATTACTGAAAGTTTGTCTAAGGGCAGCAGTCCCTCTATGACCAGTCGGAGCTCACTTAGAATGGTCATAGATCCTTCAGTGTTGAATTTTCTGTTCAAATATATTAAAAAAAAAAAAAAAAAAATTTGAAGAATGGTAATGGAAGAGCAGTGTGTGTGAACAGTGCATCACATAAGTAAAACATTTGCATGTACTGTTTTATGGTTTTTGCTGTCTTTACTCATAGATGATTTTAAGGTAAGGACTGAAACGGAGTGTACATGAAACGGAGTGTACATGAGTGGAAGCATAAATATAGGAAGTGGAGACTTCATGCCAAGTGCACTGAGATTTCTTTGGCGTTCAGTGGAGTGGTGGATATAAAAGGAGTGGGTTCACAGCAAAATGGCAGGGTCAAGGCTGTTTCTTTATCTCATGGCTTACTAAAGAGTGTGCAGCGGTTGAGTTGATTTAACTGATGATCAGGTTGAGTTCTGCTCTGGTGAAGCTAAAAACATTTTTAAGACAGGTTCAGGAGATGAAATGTCATAGTGGACCAGAAGGTAAGGAAAACAGCTCTGTTAGAATAACAAAAACTAAAAATGCTGAGTTCAGCTCTGAAAGTTTAAAACATCACTACAGAAGTTTATGGAGAGCTCCTAGGCTCTAGATAGAACTGGAAACATCATTATTTAAGTATAGCATGTTGCTGGACCTATCTGCTTGTTATATCTTCCTTCTCTGCCAGTCATTCAGACGTACTTGAATAGAAAAATATTGTTCATTTCTGACAATGAAGTTAAATGGAGAAAGCCACATTTCACGTTCTTCTCATAGTCCAAATAACTGCTCAGTTAAGTTTGGTTACCTAGTTTAATGCTTTTGTGTAGTTTGTTTTGGGTGTGATGCTTTTGTGTCATTTATTTTAAGAAAAAAAAAAATTCTAAATTTTAAAGCAGAAATATTTGGGATACCATCTGGACTTTACATAATAAATTTTTACTGCCAAAATGTTTGTGGGATTCTGTTCGGATGTGGATGGGATTTCACATTCCATGCCTTTTACAGCACAAGAGGATCATTGTTTTTTAGATACGGTGGGTCCAAGAAGAAATAGAAATTGCTTGATGGCAGCTTTTAGATTGGATGGAATATATGTAGAAGGCCATTTAATCTAATAAGTTGTTACCTTTTAGAGCTGTTACAGAATCTCAGAAGCTAATGTTTGTAGGTACAGTCTGAGTGAGACTGTCATTTTATACCCTAATACTTATTTCTAGTTTTACTGTTGTCACAGCTTAACTATTAGATTGTTTATTTTGAGATGCTGCTTCAGGCAGTTCGGTTTTCTCAATATACAGCTGAGGGAGGCTTTTCTTTTTAAGGAAGAACTACTGCTTTTACCCTATGAAAAAATACGCTGGTGAACTATCTGCAGCAAGCATGGAGAATATGATGTAAAGCTGACATACAGTGCAGTAGAGGAAGGTATTGTTTGTGTGCATGCATGTACATGTGGATCCAAATCCTTTGCTTTCCAAGAAATATGAGTAACCCTGAAAGGTAACTTGTATACTTGTGCAAGAGTGTCCAGGTGTATGTGTGTAAGACTGATACATGATAGTTATGTAGCAACTGATTGAAGTGAGTCAACAATCCCAGAGGAGAAGAGCTTCATCCTGGGCACGTTTTGAAAGCATCTTTGTCGTATCCAAGGGCCTCAGTTTTTCTTTTTCCCCTCAAATAGTGTGGGTGAGGTGACTCTCGTGAAATGTGAAACTTCCAGGCAGTGTTGAAGCTGATGGTGGAAAGCAGGTAGGGAGCTTCAGGGAGCTGCTCAGCCTACACCTTTGGAAAGGATGACAGCTTCTTGGGGCCCATACCTCATACTGTTGATTTAGTCCAATAACTAAGCCTGGATGTTTGATACTTCTGGGTGTGTTTACATGTGAATTTCATGTATGCACACTTCTTTCTCTACGTTTCATTCTTAATCCAGAAATATATTTAGTGGATGTGAACTTGATTACTGATACAATCCAGTTATTTCCAACTCAGATGTCTCACCTTGGCAGTTTTTCCAGACTTTGAGCGTGGTGGTTCAATACCAAGAGTACTTAAGGGTTTGTTAGTGTAGCATGCACGTTTTCATTTTAATAGAAACAAATTTAGGCAGTTAGACTGTATTAAATAAAACGGAGTGGCTGGGCAGAACTGAATTCTTATCTATGAATATAGCTTCTGTTTTACTGATTGTTATCTCTGAGATAATTTATGTTATGGAAAGGGAGTAGAAACTTAGAAGCATTGATTTGTTCACTAGTTCTGATTTCTTTAAGCGATTATAGATGGCAACATAGAGTTCATTTCTGCAACCCATGCTATTAAGGATTAGTGCTGTTTGCAGCTAGAACAAGTGCAACTTTTTTTGTACTCTTTCTGTAAGGAGAGAAATGTTGGTTTCCATGTTGGGGTAATTTGAGCTCCTTTTGAAAGAAGAAATGGGAATTAGTGATAAAGTAAAGCTCTTATTAATTATCTGTCTGGTTATTATAGCTCTCCTTCAGTTTCTGTGCTGTTGGTACAGCTGTATTGAAGGAGTCTGCTAGAGTGGGGTTGTCTAGAAGGGTGACTAAAATACAGGTTGATTTTTGTCGTGTAAGTAGTACTGCTTCCTAGAAAGATAACGTTTTCCCATTGTTGCTGGGAGATCAAGGTATTTTTTGGGTTGGGGGTTTTCAAAGGGAATTTTCCCTTCTGGCAAGAGAAGTCAGCAGTAAAAACGTAGAGGTGATAGGGAGAAAGGAGGGTTAGGCAGCAAACACCTTCCATTTCTTGAGATGGGAACTCCAATAAGGAATTGGCCTTCTTGCCTAGGCTTTATCTGGGGCAGCTAATCTCTGCATCTCTACTGGGTATTTTAAGATATGTCAGCCTGGTCAAGTACATCAAGCATTTCATTAAGATGTTGTAGAAATGATGTTCAGCAGTGATTTCTGGGAGCGTCAGTCATCAGGGTTCTATGTAAAGTCCTGTATCTCAAGATTTTTAGGGCCATATCTTTCCTCTCTGGCTCCTCAGAGATGAGAGGAGAAAAGTATGAAGGAAGTTTTCCAGATGCGTCAATATAAGGCAGTGTAAGACTTCAGAATTATGTATTTAGTGGGGGGATGGAACACAGCTTTAAATTGTGAACATCTGTGTATTTGCAGAGGGATGGGAAGAGATGAAAACCTGCCAGCTATTCAGGAATTTTTACCTGTGCAAGGTAAAATGATTTTTGGAGAAGTAGTAAGTATGAGACTAAAGAGCAGCTGTTCTCATGCACACATCCAGAGCTCCATTTTTTTCCAGCAGTGGTATAAATAACTGAGTAAATACAGAGTGCAGGACAGAGCAAAGCCCTGTGATTCTCCTTGTGTGCACTCTTTGGTCTTCAGACATTTGTAGTGCAAGGATTGACTGAGCTGGGTAACTTGCTGAGCTTACAGGATTTGACTACTGAATTTGTTTCATCTTTCCTTCGAGCCATAAGAAGTTTTAGCACGTGTAATACTTTGTGGTTCAACAGATGAATGAGCATGACAACAGTAAATGAAGGATCATATCTGTTCAAACCTGAATTCCATTCCTTGTACTGAAATGGAGGTAAATGACTGATCCCTGCTTACTCTCTCCATGGTGATCATAATTTTATAGACTCAGCCTTCTCTAGGACTCAGTTCCAAGTCTTTTGGCTTATCTTTTTTTTTTTTTTTTTTTAATCCACATAGCCTACTTTAAACTTGTTTTCACAGATATTTTGAATTTCACAACTGAATCTCATTGATGTATTTTAATGTCCAGTCAGGCACATCTTCGTGGTTTGTTGGTTTTTAGTTTTTCCTACTCATCTACTGTTTCAGCTACCCTGAGTAACTGTGTATCATCAGCGGTCTGTGTTAGGAGCATATACAAAATTGTGCTGAAGGAGGGAAGTTCAGCAATTGAATGAATATTCACACTACTGAATGTACGGTGGTTTTAGGTGCTTTAAGTGTCGGAAGTTACCTTAGCAGCAGAACTGTTAGTAGTTCTTGTTTTCTTTTTTGAGCAATTGCCTACTTCAGTAACAGGAAAACAAGAGTGCCCATAATGACTCAAAATAGGACACACAGCCTGAAATCATTTTCCTGAGCATCAATGGGCAGCTGCACCTTCAGGAAGTGTGCAGAAAGAGGGAATGCAGCCCTGCTTCCAAGGGCAGAGTCCAGCAGCCTGCTGGAGTCCTGAACTGTGACAACATCGTCATAGCTTCCATGTGTTTCTCTAATATGAATCCCCCTTGTCTTCCTTCAGGTCTTAGAGTTGTGAAGACTGGTTTTGTGTACAGCTCATCTCTGTTAGTTTGTGCAATGCCCTTGCCCCTCACTCAGGCAGTTATCTCCATGTACCCCATATGCTTTGCCTTCAGCCATTTCTTTGTCAGGCTGAGGAATCTTGCCGTAGTATCACCTTTGCTCTTGTGGAAGCTGTTTCTGACTCTCATCCTTGGCATGCTGCTGTCACCCCGTATCTAAGATGGGAGGAGCAAAGCAGTGTGCAGGGCTCAGGGTACAAACATGGAGCAGATGAGTCAGCATCAAATTGCTGCTGCTTTACTTTGTCTCTGTTCTCTGCCTAGTTATTCCTGAAATCCTGTTGCGTTCTGCTATCATCAACCCTTGTGAAAGCCGTGTTTTCATAAAGACTTCAAGGCTTTTCTTAATGAGAATAAACTAATTTAGAACCCATCACTTTCTGTGTGTAGTTACTTGTTTTTTTTTTTCACAGATATTGCATTTATCTACTTGAATTTCACTTTCTGCTTTCTGTCCTAGTCATGCTACAACGAGCTGGAAAAAAAGGACTGAGAATAACGCTTTGACTTGCCTGGTGTTTTCTCTTCAGTAGACTTGAGTTCTCACATTTAATAATTTTCAGTGTAATTTATGGTTGCATATTAA